CCGCAGTGACGCATGCCTGCTTTTAGAGTCAATTCACATACACAGTAGCCTCACATCAACCTACCAACGGCCAGAATCTGTTTCAGTTCAGGGTTGACTGACCAAAAACACATTTTCTTTTTGACATTATATTATTCATTAAAAATATACCGTATACACTGTCAATAAAATGAAATTTAAAGTGCGAATGAAAGTCTTTGAAATTTCTACATAAATATGTAATAAATCCGTAATATATGAATCCCTATAAAATGCTAATCAATCATTCAACTCACACCTTTATAACACCCTTTTAAATCTCTAGCTACCAGTGTGATGAAAACAAAGAGACAGAAATGCAGGGGCTTGTGTATTTTCAATTTAGCAGAAAAAGAGCCGCTCTGTTGTTTTTTCACAGATTCCGTCTTTCACAATGATCTTAATCTCCTCTTCCTGGCTTCCTGTTCCCGCCCCTCGCTCTCGCTCCTCCATTTCACAGTCATTTGCATGGGCAGAAAGGAGCTTGCACAGAAGAGACATTTCAGTGCCAGGTCCCCCTCATTAAGTCACCTGTCACTTCAGGACCATTATACCAGCCTCATATTAGCATCACCTCTCCTCCCCAATAAAGCACCTGGAGAGGCACTATGAGCCTCCAGGCTAATGGCAGCCTACACATCTCACATCAGCCACATCTGCTTTACACAGTAATTCACCACATCGCTCATAATGGTTTGCTGATTTTCATAATGTGCATAACATACACAATGCCAAGTGGTGTCGTGTATTCTACTGAACACAAAAATTACACCCATTGCAGCACATAATCAAACACACCAAATGTTCTCGCTGACTGTCGTGCACAGGCGGAGGAGGAAAAAAAGAGTGAAAATCCTCTGCACTGGCTGCAAGGGGCATGGTAACTTATTCAACCACATGAGTGCTATATCATCAAGAATGCATTCGTTATCTCATGGGTACAGATACAGTGAAATGCCCTACAGATTGTTCCTGCATATTTCAATTACATTTGACATGTAGTAAAGGGGTTTGGACTTCAAAAAGCTTCGACTTTGCACAATATCAAAGCTCAATTTAATGCTTTGCATTGTAGGTTTGATTGCAATGGGGTTGAGGTGTCAAAACTGGCAAGCATGATAATGGCTATGCTTCTGGTGGTTTATGGGCCCAACAGTGACCCTCATGTCTGTTAACCTTGCCTCCTCTGTCTTATAAATCCTATCCCGAGAGGTTTATAGGGCTCACTTGTCAAGCCTTTCCAGTCGTATTTGGTGGGTGGAGCTGTAGCACAGACGGACGACATGGTGATAAATTCTGCATCTGTTGAGTGACTACAATGTACGGCCGTGTTTGTTGTATCGTAGGACAATGCCCATATTAAATGTGACAACAAATCAGCAATTAGAACGATCATTCCTCTCAGCCTTATCCAGAGGCAGTGGCTGAAATAAAGATATTGATATGAGGGTTGAAGGAAAGGTTGTGTGTGTGTGTGTGTTTGAAAAAATATGCTTGTGTCGGATGCTCGGGGCCATTATGTCTAACAAAGGTAATGTCTGTTTGTGTCCAGAGGAACGAGTGTGCCTCTGTGCCACACTAAACCCCGTCCTCCCCACTCCGCTTCCCTTGTGGGTTGCGCTTGACTTCCACCGTTTTCACAGCTGCTCTCAGCAGTGCACTCCATTACACCTTAAATCACTTAAAAGATCTGAAGCACCAAAAAGTCCCTCTGCAACTAATTCACCCTGACTGTGTGGATCATCTCGAGAAAGCAAGAGCAAAACAACGCTGCAACATCTGATTCAAGCCGGATAAGGTGGAATGCTATCTTTATATTAGAATATAGAAGCAGGAATCTATCGCTGCCTGAAATGGACAATATTAAATCCATTCACTAAATTCTACTCCAGGACTGCAGTTTTCAAAGATATTGCGCTACACAATACCTCATATGAGAATCTCATATCTCAAACACACAGTCACCCAATTCTTGAAGATCTTGGCAGGAGCATTCTGACAGAGGCAGATTCCTCTTTGTTAGGCATCCGAAAGCTGCCGCAGAGATTAGGCTAGATAAATAAGGAGGGATAAGTGGGTCTTGTCCTGTGTTTGGTGGCACAGAGCAGTAGACACACAGTGGCGTGACACGCAGCTGCACAGTGCTATTGATTCTCTGCTAGTCTCCAGGCACCCTTCCCTTTCATTCAGGCTGCCTGCCAAGTGCCTCTGAACAGGAGCCCCTGCTCTCCCAATGTCTGCACGTCTGCTTAAGCACAATCAATGGGCCATCAGCGGGGGAGAGAACGCACGCCACTGTCTTTACTTCCACAGGGTGAGAGTCAGGGAAATTGAAAATATATGTAGTGGAAAGGCATCATGATACCATCCAGGCATAGAGCATCTTTGACTATCAGCATGAAATCAAATCCCTCAAATGGAGGTTACAGTCAGTAGCGCCCCCGCTAGTCTTTAAAGAGCTCATTTTTGACCGAATGAAGAGACTATATACCCCATTCGTATCTGATTTAAATAACTAGTTGTTAGGCGTGGCTCAATTTTTTCTGCATGCTGACATCTGAAACAAATCATCAGAATACCTAATTTCCCCTCATCAGATAAGAATTTGAAGGTTACTGGAGAAGAGGACAACAACAGATAATTCTCTCACTTCAGTGCATTCAGCAGACAATGACGAGCACAATTCAGCTCTACTGTACGGCTGTAAGTTTTTTTTCTATTTTTTTTAAAGCACACCTCAAGACAATGATGGATCATGAGAAGGAGCCGACTTTGTCTTTCAGTGATGGGTATTCAGCTTCTCCACCGGTGGTCCACTATGCAGCATATTGCACCACTGCAAGGCTTCAGTTGGGGTTGCAAATCTGTCAGCCAGGCTGTCATGGTTCACAATGGAGTGACAGAAACGTCCCCATTACCAAGGACATTTCAGTTTTGTTCCTCGCACGGCAGAACATCTTTTTCAAATCCATCTTAAGCAACACAAAGGGGATTCCGAGCTGAATGCAGCAATATATTTGTTGCTCCCCAAAGATAAATAATGCACCCTCTTACACAACTCATCTCTCATCTGCGCTTTCAATCTGAATGTAACGCATGGCCAATGCAGCATTACGTTTGAGCTGGCAGCTTCAATCAACGGATCGTGCATATTGCTAATTATGCACTCATTGGTCATTTAAAGGGTGAATAGTAGTTCGACTGGTATTGAGTGAGTGCAGGGGGAAGCTTTGTATGCCATTAAGAAGACAAGAAATCCACTAACTAAGTGTCACCCGCTGCACGAGGGAAGATAGAGAGAGGTTGGCGTAGTGACAATGAATACTAATAATTACACCAATAACAATAATAAGATATGTTGCGTGGAGAGCTGAAGGGTACAGGTGCCGAGTGCCTGCATCAATGCAGATATGAGGATCAAGAAGGATCCGTATCAAACACATAAAAAGTCAAGCATACAATGCAGTTTGCTGGCATGGAGCATGAACATTTTTCTATCCGATAAACCAAAAATAAAACAGAAAACTCCCCATCTAAACTTTGTATTCCTAGAATTATGCCAGACACATCTCAAGCACACTCTTATACACACATAGCCTGATACACACACACACACACACACACACACACACACACACACACACACACACACACACACACACACAGTACACACAGCCAGTGGCAATTTGTTTTGCAATGTTTGATCTGTGATGTTATGACTTTGAAATGAAAAGACAACATTATTTCAACAGGAGCTAATTTCTGTGTCATCAGTGGAGAGCAGCGCGTGAGGACTAACATTGGCTGAGTGTCTGTTCAACCTCGTACGTGCATGCAGCAAAGAAGTGATGGGGGCATTTTTACACAAATTAGAAACGGTCCGATTATTATTTCCCACTGCAAAACTTAATAATCGCTTCGGGCACTCAAACACCACATTCACTTTGTTTCATTTGAACAGATAAAAAACGAATGGCGGCCTGTCCACTCATTGACAGCAACTTTTTAGCACGTTAGAGTAATAGAAATAATAATAATAATATTTATAATAATAATAATAATAATAATAACCCACGAGAGCATCTGAGCGGTTGAGTGCACACATCAATACAAATTAATTTGTAGTGATCATTTTAACCGCTTTTAATTATATTATGCTAAATCAGCACATAGTACAGCTGACGTTGTTCATGAGTATGAAATTAGCATTCAAGCATGTACTGTACCACTTTGAAGGAAGAAAGAGAAGCTGAGAGAGAATGAGAGGCAGTGATGAGGCGGTGCAGGAGGGGGAAAGTGTGTGTGTGTGTGTGTGTAATCTATACATTTTCTCAACTACTTTGCCTTTAATTAAATCACTGCACTTGCGCCTCAGTTTGCGCTATAAATGCGGTATGCAGGATCTTGTATTTCATGCTAAAACCTCTCCTGTGACGTGGAATTAAACAAAAAGACACCTCCGCTGTCTGTTTATTGGCCACAATGTTTGTGTTCACTGCGGTAACCTTTCACAAAGAGCGCTTCCAATAAAAGCCATTGAATAGAGGCAGGGACGAAGCCTAACCTTTGGATAAGGGCTGTTTGTGAGGTGCAGGCTCATTGATAGGCAGTGAATGGCGCACAGAAGCCTTTATAAAGCAGACCGTCCCTGCACTCATATTGGCTGAGCAGCGCTCGAGGCTGTTAATATGCCAACTAAATGCACACCTGTGGCTGCACGACAATTACTTCAAACCTTGGCAGAAATGTGTGGTAATTAGGTTCGGTACACTAATTTAACTATTCCTCAATATTTAATAAAATAAATAAATGTTAATGAATTAGTATAGTACTACTACAACTAAGCAATTTAATAATTCGTATTGTCCATGTGTCGCCATGAACGTGGACGTTTCTTTGAGGATGTGAGCTAGTTGAAGTGGTGATCAATGTTTCATGGGAATAACTATGAAGATTTAATGGACTGATATGCAGCCACCTACCCCAGTGTTGTCATGGTGACAATGGTGTACCAAAACGCTGCGGGGATACTGGTGAACTTGCTGGCCGTGGAGCCTTTTTCTGCATAAAACATGACCGTTGCAAAGATAATGATGGCCATGGTGAGGGAGAATAGTAGGAAGCCCAGCTCGGAGGCGCAGCTCTTCAAGGTGTAGCCAAGGATGCGCAGCCCCGCGGAGTGCCGGGAGAACTTGAAAATCCGAAAGACCCGGAAGACTCTCAGCGTGACGAAAGCACCGCTCACCTGGTCATTGTCGGTCATGACCAGGCCAATGTAGTAAGGCATGATGGCGACCACGTCGATGACGCTCATCACACTTTTCATGAACTTGTATCGGCTGGGGGCTGCTATCAAACGGAGGAGATACTCAACCGTGAATATCAAGACGCACGCAGTGTCTAAACAAAAGAAGGCCAGCGCGTAACGGTCTCCACAGGACATCTCCTTTGCCCTGTTGGGCAAAATCCCGCACGGAACCGTCTCCACCACGTTGGCCATCACTGATATGGCAATGAAGAAGCCCGTGACATAGTAGAAGACCAGAGCCATGGTGCTGGTGTGAGGGTTTTCAAAAGCCCGCCACAGGAACTCCCGGGACGTCAGGTTAACCGGCGTGACGTCATTGCTCTGGTCCATCTCCTCATCGTCTTGAAGCCTCTCTGCATTTTCGCGCCTCCGGTCCTTGTACTCCTCATAACAGCAGTCCCCAATGATCTCGGAGATTATACCAAAGAAAGCGAGCTCCTCGTCGTATGCCGATATGCACTCTTGGCGTGGATAGTGTAGTTTCCCCGTGCGGTAAAAATTGAGGATATGCCTAAAGATGTCAGGGTCACGGTCGAAAAAGTACTCGCTTGTCTCCTCGTGGAAAAAGAAGTCTCTCTCCGTGCTCCCCAGCAAAGTGTCCGGGTACCTCTCTAAAGTGGTCCGCCACGTCTGAAACTTGGTCCCACTCACATTGAGGATGATGAGTCCGTCCTTGCCTTTCTTCTTGTCTTGCGGAGGGATGGGCATCGGGGTGCTTGCCACGGGCATCCATCCTATGGCCGCCGCTCGGGCGAACGGGAGCCATGCCGCTACACCTGCTGCCATGCTGGCCTATAGTGTTTAATACAACCCTGCTCCGGTTATCACAGTGCTATGGTTCAGAGACGAATTGCATCTGCAGGAAGAACAGCAGATAGAGACACTGGTGGTTAGGCTTCTGAGGCACCTAGGCTCAACAGAATGTGATGAGAAAACAAACAAACCCATTTACTTATACTGGCACTGCGCATAGCACTGTTGAGTATCACTCTCAAGCCTTTTCCCCCATTCTAACTGTTCAGTTATGGAAGCCTACTTTGCGGCAGAATATGAATTGGATTTCGAAAACGTCACCAATCAATAAGCAGGAATGAAAGTAAAAGAAATCCACCCACCTTAGGGAAGGCTGCTCTTTAAATTGCATCCACGGTGAGTTTAATAAAAAAAATTAAAAAAAAACAGCTATCCTCGGAAGAGAATACTTGCGATTCCACCACCCATCTATCTGTCACTGCAGCCAGACGATAGAGGAAAAGCAGCAGAATAACGTCGCATCAACAAGTTAAACAATTCGAGCAGCAGTTTCTCCGCACAGAGTGGTCAGTCGTCCAAGCGCGATCTTTTTTTTTTCTTTCTCCTCTTTTCAACCGCAAGGCAACGGTGCTCAGTTGTATGCGTTTTTCCTCGCGTTGCAGCTACTCCTCAATAAACTCCTGTTCCTCTCGTCGACTGCAAGACCACCCTCCCCCTCCTCACCACCGAGCCCCTACTGTGGAGAGAGGAGAGACAATCGTATGCAGAGAGAGGAGTGGTCCTATCTGCACCCAGAAATTCCTCTGCTGCTTTTCTGTGGGGGGAATAATCAATGCGTAATGGTAGTCCAAGTAGGCGGCATCTCCAAAACCTCAAGTTAATGCTTGTGTTTGTGTGTTTTCCCCTCGCTACACACAGCGAACCCTCACAATTCGACTTAGTATAAATGTAGCCTATACTATTGCGTATGATACAAATCATGAAATATGTTGCTAAGGTGGCTGGTTTTATGTGGAGGTCGCGATTTCTGGCCACATTGATGCGCAATGTCCTTTTGAAGTCTTCCTTCTTTTTTTTCTTTCGAAAAATTCCCAATACAGAGAAAAAAAAGAGAATGAGTCTGATACCACTCAGTTTGGGGAGTTAAGAGCAATATCGTTGTTTGTTTTACTATCAAAACTCTCACAGGATGCCGTGACATATTGATTTCAATATCTGGACTTTATTAGTTTTAGTTTTTTTTTTAAAGAAATAAATCTCAGATCTGCAACAAATCGTGATCAATATTGTTTCTTGAATTGCATCGTTTTGTGATGCTACTCGACGGGGAAACACAGCTTTAAAGGTCAACATCATTGGGCTACACTGCTCTACTGACATTTTCCAAAATAACCATAATCAATGAAATGTCTCTTGTGTTCCATAACACAACACAGCCATCTCCGAGGGGAACCCACACAGCTGCGTCCACTGTGGAGCATGTGTTAGGGCGGGGAACCGTATTTGGCTTCAGCTCTACGCATTAGAACATAAAGAGCATGTTCCCACTGATCCTTGAACATATTTCTGACCCGTTTTAAACCGTTTTCGTTTTTCAGCACCACGGACAGCTCCAGAGCTTTCAACATAGTGGCAGACGCCACTTTCTCGTGCCCCTGTGTGCACTGCAGGTTTCAGTTTTGTGCTATGTTTTATAGTGTAGTCACTTAGCTTTAGATCTTCTCCAGCTTCAGCTATAAACACACAGGGGTTCAGAGTCATGGGTAAGTACACACAGCTGCAGAGCTTCTGTAAAATGAACGGCCTGTTTGACCCAGACTCCTGACATCGAAATGAGGTGTAGATTCATTCTCTTAAAAGGATGCCACAGCTGTTGCTCTTATTCAAAGTACTGTAATTTGCAACAAGAGTAAAGCAAGTGGCCCAGTGTCTTGCTCAAGGACAGTTTAACAGTGTAAGTGGCCGCTGATGGACACACCAGATCTGTGGCCTTTTGTTCTCCAAATCTCCAGCCGGTGCAACACATTCACACCCAGTCATGGTTCCCTCTGCCATTATGCCAGAGGGAACCAGTTTTTTTGTAGGATGAATGCACAGGACTGTCAGAAGCCCCATTAGTGTATGCTGAGCATGTCAGAGCACACTCAGTGTTCAGTTTGAGCAGTCAGGCCCAGGGGCTATGTATTCATCAGGGCATTTAAATATTCCAGCGGCTGCCAAATGGCACCAAACACAGGCATCCCAGCTGAGCTGGATACTGCAAGCTTGTCAGAGCACAGATAGCCACAGTGTTTAATTTAAAAAGTACTCAAAGTGGTTATTTAGCATTTACATATCCTGTAATTTAAGCAAATCAAAGCAATTTGTCAAATTTCTGATATTTCTACAAAACATAGTAATATTTTCCTCAGAAAAGCAGTATGGGTGAGTTTCCATTTACATTTGGTTTGTAAGGTGTCTAAATCATGTAAATCTTTCTACAAGTGAAACCACAGTTCTATCCTCTTTTCTTTTCACAGCATATTGACAGATACATTATATTGGACTACATGTTGTACGGTGGTGGTCTGTGGTCTGGTGTGATGGTCAGAGTGACGCCATCCAAGGTGCTGACATACTTCATGATGACGCTCCTTTCCAAAAAGTTCCAAGGTCATTTCAGATGATTGGTGTTGACGCAGAGCTGTGCAGATGATTTAATTACATCATCTGTGTGTTTATGGATTTACTGTTTGGATCAAGAAATTAGCGTGTGTCCTCAACAAGGTTGAACAACTCATCCCGCATTTTTGTGCTATTTTGCGGGTATCAGTTCAAAGATGGAAACTGCTGATCTTGATATATGATAAAAGCCTATATCTCCACCAACATGCAGACCTGATTTTCAGTGGCTTCTAGTAATAATAATACATAATCAGACTCTTGCACTGTCCAGCCAGATTTTGAACTTGTACTGAATTTCGTGAACAGGTCCTTAATTAAGTTTGCTCAGTGTTGTAACTCAAAGGCATGCATCCAAAACAAACACACAGTCTGATAAACCCTCAGACTTTCATGTAGACTCACACACACACACACAGTCATCTTTTATTTGCATTTGATCAATTGACAGTAACAGTCTTTTCCACTGTAGTACACTGGTGCAGCCCACACTGCTGCATGTTTTCTGTATTCTATATTTAGTCAGGTCCAGCTCAGTGATTGAGATGATTAAACAGATGAGTCCCAGGGCTTGTTAAGGAAGAAGTGAAGGAGTAGCCACCATTTGATAGGGGTCATCAATAAAGAAACTCAAAATATTTGAAACTACTTACAATCTTGTAAGTGTAAGCCAGAAATAACAAGTGAGCAGAATGACTCTTCTGTAGTATAAATATTTGCTTGAATGCCTATAACGCCTTTAAAGACAATCATACAGGCCAATGCTCTGCACCGTGTTAGCAGTGGGACAGAGGTCTACTTTAACCCCATAATAAACTTTCTTTTTATGGAGCATTTCAACGAGATGCAAAGTTCATGACAGGCCATAAAAGGGTAATAAATAAAATGCCAAGAGGATGAGCAGTAAAAATTCCAGAAAGGCAGAAAAAGGTTAGAGACGAATAAAAGAGGCAAATTACACATAGTTTCAGGCCTGGGAACACCCTGGCATGTTTTATGGGATGCTGCTAATGAATTCATGAATCGTCCTTGTGACCTCTGGGCACAATGACATGCTGATATCCTCAGGTGAACAGCCCACAGCCACGCAGCCCATCTCCTACCACGTCATCTTCCTCAGCTGCCTCTGCCTTTCCTCTAATGAGTTATTGACCCCCCTGCGGATTTGTAAAATAGAGTAGGTCCTCTGTGTTCTTTATTGCGTATGGCAGATGGTGTGTTTGTGTGTCTGCATCTCTGTGTCCATCCGTACATTCATGT